TAGTTACTGTTTCGCAAGCCAGCCGTATCGGCCGCCTGCTGTTTCTCCTCCGATCCTTGACCTTTCACGCATCGTTTCGAGAAGCCGAAACCACCACCATACTCGCTCGACTTCAAATGAGCCAGATGCTGCCTCACTCACCGCCCCGTCCCAGATTCACCAAGCCCAATGCCCTGCAACGTCGTTGGAAAAACAAGTTTTCGTAGCATTGTTCGACAATGATACAGACTCAAGGTGACTTAGTCACTAGGGGGGATATTGAAGATATTTAGAAATCTTCTAGGAATATTTAGGATATTTTCTCTGATTTTCTATATCTCTTTAAATTATACATATCAGATTTGATTTCATTTGATTTTTTCTATCCAAGCCTATAAATAGGCTCTCTATGTACTCTTTTCAATATATCGAAATATATATATAATTTATCACATTTCTCTTTTTCGCAATTCTTATATTTAACTTTGTGTATCCTAGCTTCTGGGAAGAAAATGGAATAGCTGTACTTTTTTTTCAGAAAAAGAAGAAGAAGAAGAAGAAGAATGACGATGATGATACAGTCAAGAAAAGCACCTTTGAGAAGTCAGCATGAGAGCTTTCAATTTTTGTGGCTTGACGATTTGTTTTTTGGGAGGTCTATGTCCTTACCTGCGGGGTTTATATATAGTCTGTTCATGTCTTCTTCTTTTTTTAAATTTCGATTTGTCTTGGTTATTTCAAGGAATGGTTAATCCCACTTCTAGAAGATGGAAACTGTGGTAAATGAAGCAAAGAATTATGTGGATTGGATGTTAGATGTGTGGAATTGCTGGATAGGTAAGTATATATTCTTGAAATTGAGGGAAACATACTGTAATTGTGATTGAATGGATGGTAAAAACTTAGAGAAAGAACTTGAGGGCGAAGGGATGCTATGAAATTTCGAGAACCATCAAATGAAAAGGAAAGTCACGAATATATAAGGTATGAAAGCACTGTCCTTAGGAATAATTTTCGACATTCAGAGAGTATAGAAGGTAGGACTCGATACAACTATCTGTCACGGTTAAATAGACCTTTCTGATTAGTGTGCACTGCACTATTTGGGGAAAGCAAGAACAGTGGAAATGGGAAATTAATGGAGAGAGAAAGAGGAGAGAAGAAGAGAACGATAAGAAACGATCACATATCAAACATCATAACGTATATTTTGACTAAGGACTTTCGTTTTACTTGTAAATAGACTTTTCAAACAAGGTGTCGAGACAAAAATAGAAATTTAGTAAGAAGGATCTTGGGATTAAGTCGGGCGCATATTTCGTGCCCAAAGTGGGGCGTGGCGAAAATCCGACTTTACACCTGGTTCGACCCAAACTCATGTGCGCACGAGTCCAACACTTTTTTCTTGTTGTGACCAAGTTTGTAAAGTGAATCCATTAATAAAGTGAAAAGACAAAACTTCTCAACCAACGTAGGACGATATAAAAAGCAAGAGAAGTAAAACTTTCGCAAATACTTTTGGAAAACAAGGGAGCTTACTAGAGGGAAGAATGTTATGGTTGCGGCCGTATTTGTTGCAACTTATTACTTATTTTGTGCCATTGCTTATGGTTTTCCTTCCAAAATCTGAAAAATTAGGAAAAACATATAAGTGAAGTTTCAAAACACGTGTTTGACCAAAAAAAAAAAAAAAAAACGTTTGAAAGCATGTGGAAAAAAATTTATGCAGAAGTGTGACATTACTGGCGGGATCTAGGATAGAATTGGAGCACCTTTTATGACACAATTATTTTTAATTCAATTTTGTTTCTTATGTTTGTAAAATATATTACCATCCAACATATATATATTTATATATATGCATGGATCAACATAAAACATTAACTTAAAACAGTTACCTAGCAAGTACCTCCTTACAATTTAGTGACAAATGATCAATTTCTTTTTTCTTATAGCTGGAAACAGGTGTTACTCAATTGAGCAAATGGAAATTTTTGTAGGGGCAAAAAAGAAAATCTTCTAAAAATAATGGGTATGATTTAGGGTTGATAACACGAAAAACCCAAAACTGGTATACCTGTGATAAATTTACCCAAAACAAATTTTTTTATCACAAAAAACTCTAAACCGGTACACTTATGACATATTTACTCTCCATTAAATTGGATGAATACTGTGAAAAATCACAAATTGGTAAATCCGTGACAAACAGAGGGGTAAAATTCAAAACTGATACACCTGTCAACTGCCACGTGTCATCCAATTCAGCAATTTAACAGTAAAATTTAACGGAAACTAACGGAGAGTAAATTTGTCACAGGTGTACCAATTTGGGATTTTGGATAAATTTGTCATATGTGTACCGGTTTAGGGTTTTTCGTGATATTAACTCTTACAATTATAAGGAAGTTGGGGAGAGCCAAGGCCCCCCCACCTTAGACACTATCCATTTGCATAAACTTAGATGCAATTGGACATACGAGCAACGGTAAGAATGTTGCTAATGACTTTGCATTTACCCAAAGTGCACACGCCGTACTTCGGAGCTTGCATTCAACTACATCCGGGGTCGGTCCAAAATTGCTCGAAGGCTCGATCGAGATCCGACGAACTCGATATTTACCGGTGCGTTCGATTTCTCTATAACCGGTGCGCGACCGCATTTACGTTACATGCGGGGCCGGTAGGGCGCGAACATTGTGCGCGAGCATGTGCAGACGTAAGTTTGAATTTGTTCATTCGAAATCCGAGTCTTAAGTTATGGTGTTTAGAAGGGAAAGAAGGAGAGGACCAGTCCACTAAACGGTGGACTTGCCTTGCCGTCGTTTGAGATGGGCTTTGTTAAAATGGGGTAAAAGGGATGTGGCCCAAGAAATAAAGAGAATTAATTTTAGGAAAAATTCCAATTAAGAATCCCAAGTAGGGTCTTTTTCTCAAAAAAGGATCCCAAGTGGACATAGTATTAAATAAGGGCCTGAAGTATCAATCAGTCTTAAATAAAGACCCGAAATGCCCAATTAGTCTCAAGTAAGAGCCTGGGTTTGCCGGCCGGTCAAATGCTCACCGGCCAGCGAGTGCGTTATTGTTCCGGCGACCAGAACAAGGGTAGTTTCGTCTTTTTCTTTTTAATTTTTTTCCTTTTTCTATTTTTTTCTTTTCCTTTTCCTTTTCTGTTTTTTTTGTCCTCTCTTCCCTCCGCTGGCCATAGCCGGGGCCAGCGGAGGCTGCCCTCGCCGATGTTGGGCGAGGGCCACCCTCGCCTGGGCTGGGCGGATGAGGGTCGCCCTCACCCGACGACGGCGAGAGTCGCCCTCGCTCGCCCAACCCAGTCAAGGGCCGCCCTCGCCTGGGTTGGGCAGGCGAGGGCGACCCTCGCCAGATCCGACGAGGGCAACCCTCGCCCTCGCCCGACACCGGTGAGGGCGGCCCTCCGCCTGAGGCCGGCGGCCTCCGTTGGTCCCTGCTATGGCCGGCGGAGGGAAGAGAGGAAAAAAAAAACAGAAAACGAAAAGGAAAAGAAAAAAACAGAAAAAGGAAAACAAAAAAAGAGAAAAAAATTAAAAAGACAAAACTACCCTTGTTCCGGTCGCCGGAACAGTAACGTGCTCGCCGGCCGGTGAGCATTTGACCGGCTGGCGAACCTAGGCCCTTACTTGAGACTAATTATGCACTTTGGGTCCTTATCTGAGACTGATTAGACACTTCAAACCCTTATTTAACACTATGTCCATTTGGAGTCTTTTTTTGAGAAAAATGCCCTACTTGGGGTCCTTAATTGGAAATTTCCCTTAATTTTAAGTGCTCCACATCAAGTATAATTTAAATTTTCAATTATAAGTAAATGTCACAGATAATGTGTTCTTACCTTTCATACTTTTATATTAATTCGAGATGATTTTTTTTGGCTTTATTTTATTTTTAATTCATTTTCTGTTAAGTTATATTAGCACGATAATTAACAGCGCTCCAAGAACGTAATTAGCCATGAATCGGGGGGCATGGCGGCAAATTAACCGCGATTAGCGACGACCAACTAATGAAGGCTAAATTTGATTATGAAAATAAGTTCAAACGTCTCCTAGATAAATCTAAAGTTTGGACTGTTTTTTTTTTTCAACTTATCATTACATGTAGATTTATAATCGTAAGGGTATTGACTAACACTACAAAATGTGCGTTTGGTTCGGCTTTTAGGGAAAGTTTTCGGAAAAATGCGAAGACCTTAAGTTAAATGGGTTTTTAAAACATAAATAGTGTTTGGTAAATCATAATTTCAAAATTCATTGAGAAATAACTAAACATAGCATGAACATAGAGGAAAAATTTCTCCATATTCAACTTGCTCGACAATTATAATTATCTACTATTTCACCACCCAATACATCAATAGCGACAATTACTTTTTAACTTGGGACCTAACCATGTCCTTAAATTGCTTCATCCCAGGCCTCGTTCGGACCTCGAGATCCCCGGGATGTAAAGCAAAGAGAGGGTATTTTCGCCTCTTGGGAAAAACAAAAATTCGGGGAGAATTGGAGGTGCGAAGCATACATAGACCATCACGTTAAAATAAGAAATGTATCCATGAAGCTCACCTTGCGGGATCGGGATAGGCCACGGAGGCCTTCATAGGAGCGAAAGCTCCCTTCTTTTAATGAGGCTACTACCTCTTAACCGAATGCCAAGGATCCAAGGGAGCCCCCGGCTTACGGTCTAACATCGTTCATTCCAAATAAATCTTGGACAGCCTCGGATCGCGTCACTCGGCACGAGTCCACTGTTTTGTACGTCGCCCGTCAATCAAAATTGAATAATAATAGAAAGAAAAAGAGCGAAGGCTCGTGAAATGTTTGACTCCACCTTCAACAACGACGGGCAACACAGGATTGCCAAAACTGTTTGTCCCCTTATATTCTTTTAGTGGAATCCCCGCCAACTTCGGCCCTTTCCCCTATTCTCTCTCTCTCGCTCTCGATCTGTCTCTCTAACATCTCTTCACTTTCACCTGCGAAATCCGGCATGCTTGGGCCATTCTGGCCGCTGTTTTCGTTTCGATCTTCCATATTTAGAAAGCTCAAACGAATCCAACGAGTCTTTGAATCAACAGCATGCCATGTTCCTTTCCCATCTTTGCCTCGTTCTCTGCAATCTTCGAAGAAGTTGGTGGGATTTCCGCCTTCTTTCGGATGTCTCGACATGTCCAGTTTCATCCTTCTAGGATCTTTGCTGTCCTTCAATATTAGTCTTCTTGCTGTTTTCCATATTGGGTCGTGAAATCTGAGGAGTTTTGCTGGGATCGAACCTCTTTGCGACCTGGAAATACGTTGAAGTCCGAAATGAGTACCTCCATGTTGTTTTTCTCCGCCGAAAAGTCCCGGAAGAAGGTGGATAATATCTGAGGTACAAATTCATGTCCCCTTTTCCGGCATGCAATTCGTTAATATGACATTTTCATGGGAAATTCTTCGACCGGAGGTGTCGCGTAGCTTGTGCAGAGTGTCGTGATGAGTAGCATTACTGACTATAAGCTCGGCGTTTGTTAGGGAAATTGACATGTTTGCAGTGGCAGTGTCGTTAGGTGAATAGAAGTTGTTTATTTAATGTATAGATAGATTCCAGGAAAAAAATTTGACGAGTTTGCGATTATTAAAATGAATGCTTTTGGGTGCAGAACAGGGTCCTGAGAAGTTCCAGGGATGCTGCAGAACATGGCGGAGCTCGAGGAGGTGCTGAGGACTTTGAGGGAGCGATTGAACGAGGCGGAGGACGAGAGAGATCAAATAGTCATTGAGCTTAGGGAGTCGCGAAAGGCCGCCGAGGAGGCGAACGCGAGGCTCGCCGAGGCCTTTGCGGCTCGGAAAGTACCGGAGATATACACGGAGCTCAACTCGGTGAAGAAATTGTTGGCAAACGCGAGCCAACAGCTGAAGGTCAAGGAGAAAGATATGGAGCCGTTGAGGGTCGAAGCCGCGAGGGCGAAGCAGCTCGAGCTCAAATTGGCGGACAGAGAGGCTGCATTGGAGAAGCTGGAAGAGGAGTTGAGCGATAAGAGAGGCGTCGAGGCTGAGGCGGATTCGCAAAGCAAGACAAGGATTCGAGAGCTAGAGGAGGAATTGAGAAACGGAAAGGAATCCGAAAGGAAGACTTTCGAGTCCTTGGTTGCCTCGACGAAGCAGCTCGAGCAAACCAAAATATCGCTTGAGGAGGCGAAGCTCGAGATTGGTTCGCTACGAGAGAAGTTGGGGAGATCCGAGGAGCAGCCGAGGCAAAATGGTAAAGTCACCAACCTCTCGAGAAATTGCTTCAAGGACAATGTTTCCGCGAAACAGACCCTTGAAAGTCTCCGGTCTGAACTTCAATCGACAAAGGAAAGTCTTTCTCGCGCCCAGGAGGGAGAGAAGAACGCCTCTTCGACGGTCCAGGACCTCCTCGACAAGATCGGCAAGCTCAAGAGTGAGTTGAAATCGGCAAACGAAGCAGAAGAGAACAGCAAGAAGGCGATGGACGATTTAGCCTTAGCGTTGAAGGAGGTGGCGATGGAGACCAATCAGGTGAAGTTGAAGCTCGACGTGACCCAAGCTGAGCTCGAGCATTGGAGAGGGGAAGCCAAAATGTCGACGGAAAAGTTGAAGAACACCGAAGACAAGTTCAAAGAACTTTTAGATGAATCAAGAAAAGAGACGGAACAATACAAGAACACTAGCGAGAGGCTGAGATTAGAGGCTGAAGAGTCGCTCCTGGCATGGAATGGGAAGGAGACAGGCTTTGTGGGATGCATCAGAAGAGCCGAGGACGAGAAGACGGCCACTCAACAGGAAAACATCAGACTCGCCGAGTCTCTCAAGGCGGCCGATAGGATGGTCAAGGGATCGAGGGAGGAAAACATCAAGCTGCGTGACATACTCAAGCAGGCGCTGAACGAAGCGAACGTCGCCAAGGAAGCGGCCAGCATTGCCCGGGCTGAGAATTCGCAGCTCAAGGACGAGATGGCCGAGAAGGACGACGCTCTGAACTTCCTCAGCCGGGAGATCGAGAGCCTCAGGATTAACGAGGCTGCCATGATGGAGAACATCACGGAGTTGAAGAAGCTGCTTTCCGAGAAGGACAGCAAAACGGACGATAAGGAGATTGCGAGGAAATCGAAGGCTTTGAGCTCAAGCACCGCCAGCGAGAAAGAACACAAAGAAGGGTCAAGACTGGGAAAGGCTTTTAGCTTCAATCTTAAGGATCTACTAGTAAACTCTAGACACAAGGACAGTAGTGATAACCTCGAGAACAGAGAGAAAGACGAGGACGACGACGATGAAGACAACCCAGAAGAGATCGATCCGCTCAAAGGGTCGATCTTTGACGTCATGGACTCTCCAGGTTCGGCCGGCCATCACAGGAAGAAGTCATCCCTGGCTTTTACGATCAATGGTGAGACGATAAATTCGGAGGATTTGGACAGTCTAGATTCGCCGCATTTCAATGACTTGGAGAGCGAAAGACTCCATAGGAGGAAGAGAGCGTTGCTTAATAGATTCACAGACATTATACGGAGACGAAGCTATGCAGAGAAGAATCAAAACTAGATTAGTCAGACCCTTCTGATGCAACTAAACCAACTTCGTCGGAATATCAAAACGATATCGAGATTGCATTATAGCCATCCTTCCTTGTAGATCAAATGTTCCTGCGAGTACGTTTCATCTGAGTTTTCGACACTTCTGACTCATCCTGTAAATATCAAGCAGTGAGCGACATTTAGCCGCCTTCGATACCTGCATCAAAGCTCTGCGACCGGAGAAACAATCCCGCACAACATCCCATCATCACGAGTCGTCTCGACACGGCGTTGCCACCTGATCATTCCTGATTGTCGCTACGACGAGGTCGTCTTGATTTGGCCAACAGAAGAAGCTTCGATTGCCAAACAAACTGCGACAATAGATAGCGTCATGGTCTCAAATTCAAACAGAAGGTGGGAAAACAATGATGATGGCGCAATTGGAGAAGAAATAGACATAAACCTTTTCGCAATTGGAGTCCATCTTCGGTCTTCGTTAGCTCCAATAGGATTTCCATTCAGTGACTTGATATGCTGCCATTCAGGGAAATCATTGGATTCTTGAAATCCTGGAGAAAATTCCTGGTGCCCGTCACAACTTGGTTTGGTAATTATGTCAAACAGGTGGCAGATAGGCGTTGGCTTAGATCGCAAGGGAGGGAGTTTTCGCTTCTTACCTTGCTGTCTAGGTTTCCGTATCTTATTGTATAACACTCTCGAAATAAAATCCGGAACGCGTCATGTCGATGCAGAGACGGGGCCGTTAAAGATTGCCCGGGGGGGCGCACGAAAGCGAGCTCGGGCCCTCGGGCTACCCCACACGTCGAAAGGACCGAAACTAAACTAGTTCGCGAACCCCGGTAGGATGTCCTAATTGGGATTCCAAGAGCTTGTAGGATATTTTACGGGGATTTTCGAGTGATCGAGATTCCGTGCCGGTATTCGTATTTTCATACTCATAAAAAACAGTGGGGGCAAACTCCTATTGGAAACCAATGTGCCACGGGCCCTATTTCCCCACCCCACCGACCACGCAAAACCACGTGATCTTCTTCACAACCACGGCTCGACAGCGGCGCACGCACTCTTTCCAGCGGGATCAGAAGAAGCCCACGTGATGCTCATGAGTCCGGGATAATCCTTTTAGTTAATTTAAGCTAATTAAACGGCCGGTTCGTTACGAGGTTAATATCGCGAAAAATCCGAAATTAGCGATGAATATGCCTTGAATTAATTTTTCGATTACCAAAAGCCCTCGACCGGTAAACTCGTGACGATTATACCTTCCGTTAAATTGGATTAAATACCACGAAAAACCAACAAACCGGTAAATTAAGGACAAACGGAGAGGCAAAACTCTAAATTGGTATACACATCAACTGCCACGTGTCATCCATTTCAGTAATTTGACGGTACATTTAACGGGAATTAATGGACGATAAATTTATCACGCATATACCGATTTTGAATTTAGGGGTAAATTCGTCGTGAGCGTATCGATTCGGAGTTTCTTTTGGCGGTATTAATGCTTAAATTAAATTAATCTAACTCCGAAAACGGATGACGACGTTGTTGTCCGACCGTGTTAGCGACCGCCGTTTCCTCGTACCCCGGCGGCCCAGCACCGCATCCCGCACTCCATTCCTTCCTCTTCCTTCTCTCTCTCTCTCTCTCTCTCTCCCTCTGGTTCGAGTATATATATTCGACCCTGCATGCTGTTCTCGCCGGAGCAGAAGAAGGATCAGCGGTGAGAGAAGAGAGAGAGAAGCTTGAGTTCTGCTGGGTCGTTTGCTGTTTCCCCTGACCGAGAGAGCGACCATGTCGTCGTCGGCCGTGCAGTTCACTTCCCACGACGGCCACGAGGACGGCGGCGGCGGCAACGGCAACGGCGGCGGCGGCGTCGAGCGGCTGGACCCCGTCGTCCTCCCCATCGATCCCAGGGCCCCGACCCTGTCCCTCCCCAGGGAGACCTTCCTCCGAGCGGCCGTCTCTCTCAAGGACCAGGTAACGACGAGTTTTGAGCCCAGCGAAAATCTGTACGGGACGGGGGGGAAAGAACGTGCCTTTTTCATCTGTCGATGAAGAAAGAAACGAAGCTTTGGAAGTTATGTTTTTTGGTGATGTTTTCATGTGAAGAGCTTGAATTTTCTTTGGTGCTCATGGGCTGGTGACTGGAATCAGGTCGTGCGGGCGACGTGGCTGGAGGGCGGCGGGGGCGATCCGACAGCGTACACGGGGCTGCTCGGCACGGCCCTCCTGTGCCTGAGGTCGTACGGGGCCACCGGCGACCGGAGCGACCTGCTGCTGTCGGCCGAGATCGTCGATGCGTGCGCCACCGCCGCGCGTGCTTCCGCGAGGTGAGTCGCGTGCAGCACTACTACTTGTTGCTATTTTCAGCCATTCTTGAATTTGCTCAAGATCGTGCAGACACGCTCCTGTGGGAAAATAGAAAGACAAAGACTGCAGAAAATTTTCGCCTGACTTTGGACAAGAAATGTCCGTCGATACTCAAATAGTGGTGAAGGAGGAGGAAGATGCTCTGTTTCTTGATTTACAGAACAACAAGAACTTCGAATGTATTGCACAGGAAGATTTCAATGGCATAAGATTTTTATAGCTAAAATCAAATTGAAGTTACTTTGGAGATAGGTGAAATAAATTAGACACGACTGCGACGAACTAATCCGAATATCGAAAATATTTATAGTGATTGCTTTGCAATTTCCCATATCTTGAAACAATGAGCAAGAGTTCCCTCATTTCTCCACCATAATGAGTTTTATGATGATCACTGTTGAATTCAATCATATATGCTTTTCCATCTATGAATCCGGGGTGATAAAAAACAAATCCTAATATCTGATATTTTCTTTTGAGCTGGGGTTTGCTTTGAAAGATATGTGCATAGATGAGTTAGGTGCTGATATTTCTGCACATGTATATCTTCTCTTCCTCCTGAGGATTTGGCTGACCGGAAGGAAAAAAAACACCAAAATGATCGATACAGGCACGTGACGTTTTTATGCGGTAAAGGAGGGGTGTACGCGGTGGGCGCGGTGGTTGCCGATCTCGCGGGGGACCATCCAAGGCGCGACTTCTTCATCAACCTCTTCCTCGAGGTATATTACCAACGCGTTAATCCAGACAGTTCATCGTTTTTCTCTCCTCGATATCTCGTCATAAAAATGTGGGGCATGTCTTTGGTAATATCTGGTTTTTGGGACCATCTTGATAAATCGCTTTCGAGGTGTACCCAAGATTGTGGAGAATCAGGACGAGCTTTGATAGCGAAGGTGTTAGAATAGTTGATGTACTAGAAAAGGGAATCGATTGTGTTTGCCAGCCTGTTTTAATATCTTCCGTCGATTGTTTTTCGCCTATTTCGTGACGAGTGTACATCAAATAATCTCCGGTAAACCTTAGACATCGGTCGGAACGAGTGTTCTCAAAATCGAATCTGAACTTGACATCAGTTATAATGTGACAGAGGATGTAGCATACTATGATAAGTGGATTGCTCTAATGGAGTCCAAATCTCTGAACCCTTCTGCCTGAGTGGGTTGTTCATTGTCCTGTCATTTACTTCCATCATCCTCATTTTTGCCATTGATGCAGGTGGCACAAGAGAGGGCTCTCCCGGTTGGACCCGAGGAGGGTGGTTTCGGGATGTCGTACGACCTTCTCTACGGCCGAGCCGGTTTCTTGTGGGCGGCTCTGTTTCTGAACAAGAACCTGGGACGGGAGATGGTGTCGAACGATCTTCTGATGCCTATCGTCGATGCCGTGTTGGCTGGGGGCAGGGCCGGTGCGTCTGATATCGCATCGTGCCCCTTGATGTACAGATGGCACGGGACCCGGTACTTGGGCGCGGCCAACGGCCTCGCTGGAATCTTGCAAGTGTTGCTTCACTTTCCTCTCTGCGAAGAGTACATCGAGGATGTTAAGGGGACTTTGAGGTATATGATGAACAAGAGGTTTCCGCACAGCGGGAATTACCCCTCGAGCGAAGGGAACCCGAGGGACAAGCTGGTTCAGTGGTCTCACGGCGCGACGGGCATGGCCATCACTCTATGCAAGGCATCACAGGTTAGTAGCATTTTCGCCGAAACTAGCTCTTTTGACGATATCGGTAAACTTGCTTATGTCAGTATATAATCAATGGCTTCAGTTCACTTGGAACATATTTACTATGTATTTGCACAAATCAGTCTGAACACGAATCGTAATCGATCCGAATTCGACGTGCTTGAACAACTGAATATGGCGTTTCATAAAGCAATTATGCCCTAAGAAATTAGGTGAAGAACGGAGTTTGTGAAGAGGCTGTCGATTGATATAATGCAACTCCTTTGGGTCTCTCTCTACAGATGTTTCCACATGACAGAGAGTTCCGCGACGCTGCGATAGAGGCAGGGGAAGTCGTGTGGAAGAACGGGCTCGTGAAGAAAGCGGGGCTCGCCGACGGGATTTCCGGGAACGCGTACGCCTTCCTCTCGCTTTATCGGCTGACGGGGGAGCGAATCTACGAGGACAGAGCCAGGGCGTTCGCGATCTTCCTCTACCACAATGCGAACAAGCCCGTCAGCACGGGGCACGGGCACGCCGCGGACTATGCCTTCTCGCTTTACCAAGGGCTCGCCGGAGCGGCTTGCCTCTGGTTCGATCTCGTCGATGCGGAGAACTCCAGATTCCCGGGGTACGAGATATAAGGGAAGGGATGCTAAGGAAGAATAGTATATAGCTCTCTCGTGTACATACTAAAGAGAGGTATGCCGTTGGAAATCGGTGAATCATAATACGCCGTTGCTCTGTATTGCTACTGTCAATATGTAAGACTTGCGACCTGATAATTCCACGTGCAGAGATCAGTCGTTTGTTAAGGCAAGAAATTGATGTCCAAAAGACATGGGTCGGACGGTCATCCTCTATGTTTTAGCGTAGAATATACAAATAGACCTGCCAAACGGGTGGATTGAGTTTGGGTTAGGGTCGAAAATGGTCGGACCCAAGTTGACCAATTTAATCGGTTTTGACCCCTTTTAATACAATATAATAACCCAACTCATATCCAACATATACCAAACCCGACGCATATTGCTAAAATAATTTTATATTTAACCTAATATAGGAAAATTCATACCAAAACTAAGGTGAAAGCATGGAGGGAGTGAGCGCGAGATCGAGTGATGGCAAGAGAGAGTGAAGAAGAGAGTTGGGTCTAAGTAACTTGTGTAAATTGTAAACTCATTTTTTATCCATGTTAAACAATTTATGATCCATATAGTTTGGTCTAAACATGTTTATGACTCATATATTTAATAAATTAATCTATATAACAACTCACCCAATCAAATATGGATTGAGAAAATATGTTTATGACCCATTGAGACAGATTTACAAACAAACAGATGGGAAATTGTAAATCAAGTTTATGCTGGAGCGTTGTGTCCATCATTGCCAATAGCAACCGGTCTACTACACAAGAAATTGCGGCACGCGTTCAACGCGAGCACGTGCTCGATACATGTTAATCCCAGTTCGTTCGTGGCCCATTTTAGAAAGAAATAGAATAGAGGGTGTCGGGCGATGCGCACTGAATTCTATAAGATCAGAGCTTCTCATTTTCTCGTCAAACGTTTCGGCACGATCCGATGTTAGAGAGATTAAAGTCATAAAAGTACAATCAAGTCCTAAAATTTAAAAAAGTACAATTAAGTCCTAAAACTTATCATAAAAGTGCAATCAAGTTCTAAAACTTTTAAAAAGTACAATCAAGCCTTAAAACTCATCACAAAAGTGCAATCGAATCCTAAAATTTTTAAAAAATTACAATTATGATTTAAAATTTATCATGAAAGTATAATCGAATTCTAAAATTTTGGACCGTTACCTCCCCGAGGACCATCCACATTCTTTGATTCTCCAAGCCCCACTATTCTTTGTCCAGCGCACATCATTGTCGAGCAGACGTGCGATGTCGTCTTTCGAGAAATATTGATGTTTACTGGTGCGGATCGCGTGCACGCTTTCCCGCTTGTGGGACGATCTTTTCCCGGCGAACGACCCCGAAAACAGAGGGAATCCCTCCACGCCAATCATGGTGGCGCCCACCCTCAGCTGGGTAGCAGCATGTCAACTTCTCTAATTATTCTCCCCCGTCTCCTCCCCGTCCACGTATTCCCAGAACAAGACACGAAATGGATGTGACGTGTCGTTAGCCCATGATCCATATATCATCCAATCGAAACGCATTTCAAAACGTGTAATTATAGTTTGGCGAGAAGACTGTTCAAAAAGTCCTAAATTTTAATCTACGGAAGCTAATTCGGTGTTAAATTTTTTAATTGTGTCCATTTAGTTCTAAATCTTTTGATGATTTGCTGATTTACTCCTAAACCTTTTGACGATTTGCCAATGTAGTCCTTTCGGCCAAATATCCGAATAATAGGTTCGGGACTAAATTAAAAAGTCTTCAAAAGGTTTATGACTAAATTGACAGAAGAAAGGTTTAGGATTGAATTAGCCTCCATACAATATATTTAAGACTTATTGGACAATTATCGCATAATGGCTGCTGCTAACATTATTAGCCTCTTTAACAATTGAAGGTTTTCGGAATTATGCATGTGGTCAAGGCATTGCTGGCAGTACTAACACATGTTGCAATCCAAAGAGTTGGCGATGGAAGTCGAATTTCAGTTAAGGATGGCATATATGTAGCTATTTCACTTTTGATTACAAATCTTGCACAAATTGTTAAACTAATTGGTGAACCTAGTGAAAACATGAATTAGTCGTGCGAAGGAAATAAGTTTGTTGACGAATTTTCGTGAGAGATACTTCGTCAGAGAATACATCCCCGTCTTCGAGTTACCCTTTTCCTTTATCTGTAAAAGGGCGAGGTCACATGCGATCACTGTTAGCGACTTCTTCTGGGCGTTATTATAAGAGTCCTACACTCGCCACGGGGTATTCAATTCGAGCCATAATACTCCGCAATCACCCGCCACCTGAAGGTTTGTGATGCAGCCAGGAAGTTTATCTGCACAAAATATTGCGCAGTTACGTAACGCAGCACAGACAGTTCAAAAGTGCGCTAACGGACCATTCACAAGTGCGATCACGATACGAGTCAAACTCACGATCTCATGGAAGATGGGTACTTACGTAATCACTAAGTTAATCACTTTGGTGGTCTTCAATATCCTTGGGAAAAACACACAATTTAAAATTCGCCACATCATTATCCAAGACGAAAATTAACATATCCATAATCCATGGGTGAGAACAAAGCGCGTCTCCTTCAAAGATTATAAAAAAAGGAGCAGATAAAGATTGAGTGATCTTAGATATTATTAAGATTATAAAAAAAATCGATATATAAAGTAATGTCACAAATTTCAATAGATGTTTAAACAATCCAATAAAAATGAGGAAATTTTTTTAAAAAGTCTTAAACTTATTGTACATATGGTAATTCTGAAAATTTTTAAAAAATGCAAAAGATTGTCCGGGTCAACGTCAATCGTGCTACGTAAAACGACTGGCGTCCAAGTCAACGATTTGTTGCTAAAATTAATCGAAAGGACTAACTTGGCAAATTGTCAAAATGTTTAGGACTAAATTGGTCAAATTGAAAAGTGTAGGACTGAATTGCCATTCGTATAAATGGGAAAATTACCAAAATAGTCCTAAGCATATTGTATGGATGTTAATTCAATCCTACCTTTCAATTCTGTCAATTGAGTCCTAAACATTTTGATAATTTGCCAATATAGCCATTCTGGCCAATTTTTGCTGGAAATTGCCGACGTGAACGCCGGCAACCTTACGTTTCATGGCTGGCGTCGGACTTGGTAGAAAAAAAGGAAAAGAAAACAAAAGAAAAAAGAAAAAAGAAAATATAAATATATAAAAAATTTAGTAGAGCCGACCATGAATCCTCAAGTCATCTAATAAATGACCAAGACAAGTATCGGTTTTATTTGCAATAAAGGATGATCTCCGGCAAAATCCATCATTGGTTTGAAAAATGAGTATGAAGTTTACGGGGACCACTGACAAATATTTTAAAAATTTAAACTGTTAGATGATGCCGTGGATAATCTAACAATATGGGATTCAGAACTTCCGTTCATACAAGTATAATTACCTACCTACCTTTTCTTTTGGAAAACGAGATCTTACTTGGGCGTGTTTTTGTTTCGTGAAAAATGAATAATAAAATAAAATATTTTCCATGGAAATCATTTTCAAGGAAAATAGCTAGTTTTAATTTGTTTGGTAGTTTAGGTCATTTTCTCTCGATCCGATCTTCTTATTTTTAGTCCATGGAAATCGTTTTTCCAGAGATCAACTAAATTTCGGATATTCAAATATCGAAAAGTCGACAATTTCCTGAAAACATTTTTTTTTTTGAACTCACTCAACGGATCATTTCAAGCCAAATGGCAATCGAATGAAGGTTCCTTCCAGTTGAGGGCCAAAGCCAAGAAGATAACAGCAATTCAAGGCTCTGTTTTTATTTCGCAAATAATTTAGCCCAACCAAGATCAATCACTGCGCCTAACAACATGCTAAATTTTGTTAAAGATCCATCTTTTCCTTTATCTAATCTTCGTTTTCCGCCGGATAATTAACGAGAAATGATTGACCAAAATCGAACCTGTGGGCCACGCCTCAAAAAGCAATGAGAAAAGGAAAAAGGCGAGAAGGAAAATCGTGGGTGCGTCGTCCCCGATGTCCACTTGTTTCAGTTCAACTTCAGCTCGAATTCCTAGCCTCTCCTCTTGCGCCACGTCGCCGTCCTTCCCCATTCCCTCTGTGTCCTGTGTCCTCTGTCTCCCTCGCTCTTCTCCTCTCCAGAGCTGCCCGCCTGCTCTGTTCTTTCGTCCCCTGCCTCACGCCCAGCCAAGAATCGATCCCGCCGTTGAGAAAAGGAAGCAGCTCTTCGCACGCAAAAGCTATAAACCCCGATCAAGAAAGCCGGTCGCTTGTCCGAAGAAGACGTCGTCGGTGATTGGACGGGCGCGCCCTGAACTGGGAACTGCGGGGTTTCTTGGTTTGGGTGTCTGAAAGCTCTTCGGGCATCGATCGTCCGCTGAAAGGCTTGTGCTGCGGCAGAGAGGGGAGGAGGAAGGAGGAGGAGGTATGGATCGTTACGAGATACTGAAAGGTATTGGGTCGGGAAATTTCGGGGTCGCCAAGCTCGTGAGGGACAGATGGAGTGGCGAGCTCTTCGCTGTTAAATACATTGAAAGAGGCCAGAAGGTAGTCTTTCTCTTTCCCAACCCCTGGTCCGTCTTTATTTGTTGTTGGGTCTTTTCTAGTTGTCATGACTTTGTTTGTCTTGCCTGTTTGACTGTCACCCGTGTCTCGTGATTGCAGCACTTTTGGGCGCTGTTACTAGTTCTGCGGAAATTCTGTTTCTTGTCGGTGTTTTCTTGGAAAAACAGAGGCTTTTTGTAAGGGTTGGGTTTGAGGTTTCTTTTTTATTGGTTGCAGATCGATCAGCACGTGCAGAGGGAGATTATGAACCACCGGTCCCTTAAGCATCCGAATATAATTAGATTTAAGGAGGTAATTTTTGCTAAGTTTAGCAGGTTTAAAGTCTTGCGTCCTGTACTTCTTCTTGTGTTGAAGAAATGCATGCGAGAATGAGGATGAGGGCGTTTTTGAAGTTAATGTAGTTGATGGATCGGAATAGGATCACATCCAGAGAGTAACTTTAAAGGGGACCTGAAAAACTGAGAAGCAAGTTTGACTTTTTTCCCCTTTCTTCTGAATAATGTTAGGTGTATTGAGATTGATTAGCAAAATCGGTGTTCTAATCGTCTGGATGCTCACTTGCATTCTGTCACGTCTTCTTGCCCTCGGTTTAGCTGGTAGACGTTGCCCCTTTTGGCTCGTCCTCTGAACAGTCCGATCTGTGCTATTTCTACAAATCACTTGTTTCCCACTTACTGACAGAAATTAAAGATGTGAACTCGCTAGACATGGGGTGGCGAGGATAGTTTAGTATTTCGATTGCATTTTGATGGCAGTACACGTGTTTTACACCACGCGATTTCTCTAATGAGTAGTTTACCCAAGGCATTGGTAGTTGAAATCCAAATGCACATCAATCTGAAAGAGAGACTGGTTATGAGGTGGTGACTCTTAGATGATGGCGATTAAGTGCTTGCTCCTGCAAGATTTGTGAACGTAGAAGACCAATGACCTGGCCATATTCTTATGTGACTGGTGAAGGCAGCTGCAAAAAAGTTTCCTTGCTGTACTATAATTTTTAGGATTCAAGAATCAAAATTTGGAACAATTTGGTTTTGCGAAGCAGCTGGACAACAGCGGATTCGTATGCTGTTTCCTCTTGTCAAGAGCTCATGAACTTGGAACTTTTACGGAAGTGAGTATTGTTTTGCAGGTCTTGCTCACACCAACTCATCTGGCCATCGTCATGGAATATGCTGCGGGTGGCGAATTATTTGAAAGAATTTGTAATGCCGGTAGATTCAGCGAGGATGAGGTATTTCGAAAAAGACAAAAAAACATCTCTGAGATGTCTGTCGCGTGTCGTTTTTAGTTTCATCTTCTTCTAAATCCGTTGAGTGTTTTCACTTTCTCGCTTCTGGCAAAGATGGTCGCTTCAAAATTCAAACGGCACCGTTAAGTACTTAATTCTGTCTCTGAAGCTCTCTTTTGTCTCTGTGTTAGGCAAGATTTTTCTATCAGCAGCTCATATCAGGAGTCAGTTACTGCCATTCAATGGTAACAGTTCTCTTTCATTCCAAGTCATTAAATGCGATTTTCATCGTAATTTCTCAATCTGCATCAGCTATTGTAGCTGAATGTCTGACAATACTGTATAAAATTCGTCTTGTCGCAGCAAATTTGCCATAGGGATCTCAAGCTGGAAAACACTCTGCTTGATGGGAGCACGGCACCGCGCCTTAAAATATGTGATTTCGGCTACTCAAAGGCAACATTTTGCTGATGAATTTATGTGGTTCTTCTTGGGTAATTGCTGTATTTTATCGTTGCTGACTGCTCTGTCTCGCTTGTAGTCATCAGTATTGCATTCTCAACCTAAATCGACAGTGGGGACGCCGGCCTATATAGCACCTGAGGTTTTGTCGACAAAAGAATATGATGGGAAGGTATAATCGAATCTCTCCTCATTCCTCCTCCTCTTATTTTCCTTTTTGAAAATTTTTGGCCAACTGTAGGACCCTAGTTAGGTGACCTAATTGTCCTCTGTTGATTAAGCATAGTTTCTCTTTGATTATTGTAGATTGCAGATGTTTGGTCTTGTGGGGTTACCTTGTATGTCATGCTGGTCGGGGCTTATCCTTTCGAAGATCCAGACGATCCAAAGAACTTCAGAAAGACAATTCAGGTTTACGTCCATCATCTATGTTCAAAAGTCACCGATATCTTCAAGTACTATTCACTCTTTTAGGCTTGACCTTAAAAAATGAGCAATGGCTTGATGCAGAGAATACTCAGCGTCCACTACTCAATCCCGGATTATGTGCGTGTCTCCATTGAATGTAAACATCTCCTGTCTCGAATTTTCGTAGCCAACCCTGAAAAGGTAATCACTTTCACGAGAGTTCAATCTGGAGTATCTTCTTTAGTTTCGTTAGTGGTTCTTTCTTTTCGGATTGCTGCACTGAAGGCCAGCTTGAGCAAGATCATCGATGAGCTAATGATGACCTCAATTCGATTACAAATGTACTAATTTGCGATGTTGCCTTGCGGAACAGAGAATAACAATACCTGAGATTAAAAGGCATCCATGGTTCCTGAACAACTTGCCTGTGGAATTCATGGAGGATGGGAAAGGCCTCTTGCAAACCGACGGACCGAACGATTCAAAGCAGAGCGAGGATGAAATATTGGCCATAATTCAGGATGCGCGAAAACCGGCGGAAATCCCGAAACTCAGTGGGATTCTAGTCGGAGGGAGCATGGATCTCGATGACTTGGAAACTGATGCAGATATAGATGATATCGAGACCAGCGGCGACTTTGTCTGTGCACTGTGACAGCAATGCAACCATATTCAATTACGATCGGCTCACGAAAAAAAAAAATCCGTATTTTACTAGTGAGGCATACATATAGTGGTCTTGGGTCGATGTTAATAGTCATGAGGAAGCTGCTTTTGAAGGGACTGTGAGGGAAACACACTTGGGTTTGGGCTAAAGGGGTGGTTTGATCCAAAATAGTAGGCTAATGCCGCCTCCTGGCTGTGTAATTTATGAAGCTGAAAAGAACACACTGAGGAGACTTTCTGTGAAGTTCATGGACTAGTAAGAGGATGCACAGTGTTACTTGATTTCATAAAGAAAGGATATTGAGATGCATTGAGCACGTATAAAATGTTTGGAACCTGAAGTTTTTCCTCTACTTCGATTTTGGACTTACCAATTTCCTGAAAAAAAATTATGTCCTCCAGCGATAATTCAGGAATTGTCGTCCGGTTGATCGATTGGACCCCCTCAATGCTAAATTTTGAGGGACAAGCAATAGCACAATCAAAATCTGATCTTAACCTTTTTTATTTATCCAAAAAGAACCTCAACTTTAGATCGAGTTTCAAATTTACTTTGAATTAATTCAGCAACTTTAACTCTAGCTCCATATCTGCCTGTGTTAGCCCTCCGCCCATTATCATTGTTAGTCATCCTTAATTTTTCTAATTTTCATATGAAGGAATGATTTCGTTTTGGAGATAATTTTTCACGTCACCTTACTGATGTGGATTTCTTATCAACATAAAAATGCCACGCCAAACAACTAACGGCGATTTTTGGACAAGGATCAACGAGAACAGATTTGGGATCGGAGTTAAAGTTGGTGATTTTCTTTAAATAAAAAAAAGTTCGGTACATATTTGGAACTGTACATAAAGTTTAGAATTTTTTTCGAGATAAAAATAGTTCGGGACAGAATTGAGATTGGTTGTAGAGTTTGTTTTCATAAGGAGCGGACACTGTAGTCAACTTACCAATTGCATCAATTCTGTCTTTTCAATCCAGCAATGGCAACACTTTTTAGTCAGATTCTTTGTCTTCAATTAATTGCAAGAAAACATACAGACTACTTCTTGTTTGTGTCTCTGCTTGCGAAACTGTTTGTTTCATCGCCAGGTCAAATCTTTATACGAATGTTCTCGTCATGAAACGAAATTGCATAATCAAACCCTTCATTCAAGATTCCAGCAAGACGTCCACCGGCCGGCTGTTCACCACCCTGCAGTTCCTCCTGATCTCGCCGGGCCGGTCCGACACCAGATCCCCCATCTTTATCATCCCTTCGATGAAAGCCCTGAAGAACTCGTCCTGGTCTCTGCTGAACTTCCTCACGTACGCCCTCGTCCGCGGAGACGTGAACAACGTCTGGTCCGAGTTCAGGAACCCTCTGCCCGCGACCAAGTCCTTGAAGTACTGGTTATCGAACGTCCGTGGCGTGGAGTCCAGATCTCCGGTCACGTTCTCGTCGCAGCCCCGTGGGCAGAGCTCGTAGAGCTTGTCTCGGAATCCCGGGTTGATTGCGGGGTCGGGCTTGCCGGTCCCCGACTGGTTGTAGAGCCGGAACATGATCGAGAAGCACCGGGCCTGGCCGATGGAGTGAGACCCGGAAAGGGCCACCAGGTCCCTGATGGAGAGGTTGTACCTGGCGAAGAGATCGATGAGGAAGCTCGCGTTGGCCCTCGGGCTCGGCATTATGTCGTTTGAGTCCTCCTGGCTGGCCGTCAGGCTGTCCATCCTCCCCAGCTTCACTTCCCAATCCGGCCCACCGGTCTAAACCATGTTTCTCATTACATCAGAACTCAGAATGAAAGTTGATTGTCCCGTTCCTAGGCTAAGGATTCCCCCTTTTCCCCCTGGTCCTACCTTAGGACTAAATCGGCGAAATTGATTTGATTTCGGATTTGCAGGGCTGAAACAGAGTCAGCCTGCAATCTCGAGCCTGTCTAGGAACAGGGACCCGAACTAGAAGAAGGGACCATTTACTAAATATGGTGGCCACTACCGCCCAGACTCTATATAATTATTATTCTGCAGTTCCACCATTTATAGAAAAAATTCCGTCTTTTTGCATGTCCTATTGATGAAGCTCCGACCCCATTCAGAATATTATTCATCAAATCAAAAGAATAAATACTTTAATATCTCCAATGTCTTTTCCCTTTCATCTCACATTATAATTTTTCAAGATTGCCATTGCACTGTCTACATTAATACGACCATGGCAAAATTTGTCCGTGGAATGATGCTAGTGTTGTTTACTGACGTGCTCTGTCATTGGTAAAGAGGAAGAGATTTGTTTAACTCACCAGGGCGACCGCGTCCCGGGCGGCCATGACGACGACGTCGGCGCAGGAGACGACGCCGGGGCAGGCCCTCTCCAACGCGTCCTTGGCCTCGTCGATGACTTCGAACGACCGCAGCGAGTTGATGTTGGACAGAGCCTCTTTCTCTCCGACCATGGTGGGCGTGTCGTCCAGAAGCAGAGACCCATCGCAACCCTTTTGGTGGAAAAAACGTAAGAGCAACGAAACCATGTCAGATTCAAACACCCCACAAAAGTATGAAACAAAAAAGGAGATTGGCCCGGAGAAGATGAAATGATTCAGAAGGTTCGTGACGGCTCGGCGTTTTACGTTGACAAAGCAGTCGTGGAACTGGAAGCGCATGACGGAGGCGACGCTCCGGGGCTCCCAGATCAGGGCCTTCTTCATCACCTCCCTCACCACGGCTTCGGCTGTCGGGCACGTCTCCGCGTAGTAACCGGGCTGGAGCTCCACGGCCATGGCCGTTTGCAGGAGGAGGAGGAGGAGGAGGAGGAGGAGGGAAAGGACAGACAAGGCAGGGCTCATCTTGCTCTCTACCCTTTGTTCCAACGATTCTTGTGGAGGCACAGAGAGAATTGAATTGAATTGGAGAGATGGACGGCTTGATCTATGACGCTTCAGTTTGTCCCTGGCCTCTTCTGCTTCTTGGGTGAAGACATTTATGGATATTTTATAGCCCTTGTGGCATTGGGAAAAGGACTGACATGCTGACTTTTGACCTGCTGACTTATCATCATGGGTGGTGGTATCAAACATAAATTTTTTTTTAGGTATCCTTAAGATTAACGCATTTCTTTAAATTACTCTATAAGTACAATGGAATCATCCAAATTTGATTTTTTGTGCGGTCTATAGTTTTAAGTATGTTGCTCAAAAAGCATTTGCTAAATTTAATGCACTCAACAGGAAGTTCTCGATACGTCGAGAGAACTTTGAATTATTGAGAAAAAACCGAATGAGACATAATGAGAATCTGGCCAACTTCAAGAAAACACGGGTATCATCTTATTGGGCCAACTTTATAATATTTCGACAACGACATGAAATGACACGAATATAACGATACCGTGCGATTTCTCTACACATGTCGAGAAAGAGTTACTTTTTTTTTGGTCGGTCATCCTCTATCTTTTACTCACGATACACACTCAGACTTGCGCTCCACCTCTTACAGGGCGTGGGCGTCGAAACTCACATCTTAAATTACGCGGCCCCACTCCTCCCCCCTGCGAAGGTGGGGATTCGAACTCCCCACCTCCCTCTTCTCAAGTGAAAAGGGTGGCCACTAGGATAAACCCCCGGTGGTTGAGAAAGAGTTACTTGAAGGGGGAGAAATTGAAAGCTTTTTTGTCGGCTCGATTTACTTCCAAGAACTTTTCTTGGTTTCGCTACGCACGCGTCGATGATACGATACTTTGGTCGGCGAGTTTCTCGGGGGTAAATGAAAATCAGGTGCCGGTCGAGATAATTCAAGTATCGAAAAGGCGTCGTATCTGCCCGAAAACTATCTACATCGAAAGGGCGAAATTATTTGACGTTTTTGGAGAGCATATCAGATGTAAGAGACGACAGCTATGGTGGGGGACGGTTTTTTCTTTACAAAGCAACTTCGAGTCATCCAATTGGGAGGGGATGTTGCAACCATAATAGGAGGCAAAGGTTAAGGCCACTTGGGATTGAGGGCGATGTGCAACCGAAAGCGAAGTGTCAAGAAGTGAAATGGAGAGAGTTATCAGCTTCTGCTTCTTCGTCTGCGTGAGGTGAACGATAGCGACAGCCACGTTGCAAGTCGGCGGTTGGTGGGGGGGACGACGAAAAATCACCGTCCCTTTTGAGTCGTGGATGTACCTGCGAAAATTCAACTTTCCCAAAAACGTAAAAGAGAATGACATAAATAGTAATTAAACTCTAACACGGCATATAATGTCGTCCCGGAATTTTTAATTTGTTCGATGTGGCTTTTGAACTTTAGCCTGATATGTAATGTCGTCTCTGAACTTTTAATTTGTTCAATCTAATCTCTGAACTGTATGGAAATATTCAATATTGTCCATAAACTTAAATGAACAGAATATCAATATTGAACATTTTCATATTATTCATAAACTAGATTCAACGTGTACAAAAAGTTTGTGGACCACATCGAACAAATTAAAAGTTCGAGACAGCATTACATATTAAGTTAAAGTTTGGGGACTATTTAAGTAATCACCAAAAGAAAAATTGAAGGCCTTAATTGCTCCTCCTCAAAAAAAGGAAAAAATTAAATGTTTCGAGTTTGACCTGAACTTTTCCAAATGTATCCACGATTTTCCGCCATTAGATATTTGCTTAAGTGTTAAGGCTATGTGACAAACAATAAAAGTTGCTAATTCCATCTGTTTGTGTGGCGTTTGATGTTACCAACAACAACCCTCATTAAATGTGAACTTTACCATTTCCACTATAAAACGAAAATTTTTGGGAAAATCACTCAAAGCCCTCTTTTAACTTTGAGAAGATATTGGTTTATTATGTTTTCCTTTGTGATATTTTTGTGTTAATATGTACAATGCACATGTCTTTTAAGAGGTAAATGTGTATTTTTCCATCTCATTTTTAAAAGAAATCTCCTTTTTTTTCACCCTTAATTTCTGTAAAAAAAAAATTAAAGAAATAAATTGACCTAGATATTGATATTAGAAATAAATAAATATTAAAAATAATATTTAAAAATAAAAATTGATGAAAGTATAGATTCACTAACAAGATATTTTATGGGCAAAAAACACAATTAAGTAAAAATTAACAAGGACTTAATAACAGAAGGGGCAAACAAAAAATAGGATCCTCATTATGTATCTTTAAAAGGTTAATTAATAAAAAATAATCATTAATTTGTAAAGATATTTTAAAAAATCAGCAATTAATTATAAAAGAGAAATTTCCCTAAAAAAATGAGATGAAAATATACTTTTACAATTGAGCCCCTTAAAAGTCACGTCCATTATGGAAAAAACAACGGAGGATTAACGACAGTAACATAATTAAAATTCAAGGATGCGGTATTATGTGAAGGTTGAAATTTTCAAGGGAAACATGTAACGGTTTAGATTGTTGACAAGCCGATATGGTAATATTTATTGTGTTGATTATAAAATCACTTTATCTTAATTGTTTTCTTTGTCAAACATTATTTAAATTGTTGACAAGCCTATATTTCATTGCTTTATGTTATTACTGGCAGATAGGACTAATGATACAAATGGCTCCTAAACTTTAGATCGAAGTGCAATGACGTTCATGAACTTTTAATTTGTTCAATATAGCCATGAACTTTAGCTTAATATATAATGTCGTCGCTGAATTTTTAATTTGTTCAATGTGGACTTTGAACTTTTGTTAAATGTTTAATCTAGTTCTTACACTATATAAAAATATACACTTTGTTCTTTCATTAATTCAAGTTCAGAGACAACATTAAATATTATCATAAAGTCTAATGATTATATTGAACATGCACCAAAAGATCAAAGATCACATTGGAAAGGTTAAAAGTTCATAGGCGACATTATACGTCGGGTTAAAGTTAAGGGACTATATTGAACAAATTAAAAATTCAAGTATTATATTACACATTGGACCAAAATTCAAAAATCATTTATGCTATTTTCCCTTGACATATAAGCTGGCCACGGTTCTCTTCAATCATTTTAGATTAGAGTTATTGATGAAAATACCACGTTGACTTGTCTGTTGACTACTAGACCGGATGTCTCCTCGGGTGATTCCCACCATCCGACATGATCCGTGTTTGATTAAGCTTCTTAATCAAGTTTAGTCAGAAACAGTCATCATTCGCACCACTAACAGATGAGAGAGATTAGATTAGATTATGCTTTTCTAGATTAGTACGCAGATCTTATCAACTTTTGCTTTTTACTTGTCCTTTTACCATGTCTTCTTGCTTTATTAGATATTATATTCTAAAGCAACTTTATCACTAAAGAAGCCTGCTCAATTTATACTAAGCCTTCTTGTTATGGCCCATAACTTATGGGGAAGAGTCCGGAAGCAGAAAAGGAATTTTTTTATAAAAAAAATATTCATCGTTTGTTTTTTATTTTTTTGTTGGGACCTTACTAGTAGTCTAGTACAATCCCTTTGCATGCTTTTTTTTTTTTAAATTTTGAATTTGTGAAAAATAGACTTCATCATAGGCTTGGCGGTCCATTCAATTCGTTGGGGAGACTCGGGAAAGGTCCCGATAGAAATAAGCTCGATCCCATTTTGGTCAAGTTAGGCCCGTCCTCACCCATAAATACGCATTCTTTTTCCGCGGTTTGTTCCGGCGTATAATTTTCGCAAAGGCGGGGTATGATCCATTGTGCAGGTCCTTGCTTCTGAAACAAATTTGAATCTATGAATTAAGATTTGATGTACCTATTGCTGGAAATATGGGCCCTGCGAGATCTGCACAGTGTTGTCCAAAATGCAAGAATGTGTTAGACGTACAGTGGACACCAAGGCTATCCAGGATTGAGTGCCCTGTGATTCATCTTGTCAAACGTGATTGGACAAAATTATGTTTAGGAAAATAGAAACTAAGTTTGATATTCTCCTACACTAAGATTTTTAGAATGAAATTATAAACAGAAGTCCTATTTCACTGATTAGTATATGAGCTATGATATTCTCACCGACAGCTCTACATCAAATATTATAACATGTGATTATTGTCCAACAAAAAATCATATCATAAAAGGTTAAAATAATTGCGATGTGTATAGTTTTTTATTTGTGCACTTATTAGACTCTATTGGAAAAAAGAGAGAGCATTTCACAGTAAAAAAAATATGTTAAAGGAACACTTATGTGTATCTAATTGTTTAAAGATCACTACTTCGCAAGGACATGATTCGATGTCCAAACATCACATGCGAGCAGATGTGGTCGCCATTATTGGTACTCGAGATGTTGTGTCTTGAGAGGTGGATAGATAGGACCACTAGTTGCTCGATCAAGACCCTAGCTTTATTGCGAGCTAAAAACCTTGATGGACAAAGTTAAACATGACTCATTGAGAATTACCAAAACAACGAAGGTCTCCTCTCCTTTCATTCCTTTCTTTCTTTTTGATTTGAAGTTGGTTGGCAGGGTCAGGGCCTTTCTCGCTAGGTGAGTGCATCCCATTTGAAAGTCCTTTCCTAAATCACTTCCAGTTCAATCGCCGAAAGATAGAGATAATCTTTATAATTGAGATTGAGTTCCATAAATATGTAGGCTAGAAAGATCCCCTTTTGACCCACTTCTTCTTATTCCTAGTAATCCACCCACTGTTTCGACTCTTGATCGCTTACATTTATTCCGTCTTATGTCAATTTATCCTCGAATATCCCCTTCAGATATATCATTTTGAAATTTCTTTTCTGACTCTTTGGATGTTAACTCCGGATCAAGTGTCCATTCGAATTCCATAAAGCCGGTATATGCATCGATACCGGAGTAAAAACCACTTCCTAACGAACTAAATAACCAGCCTTCTCATGATGCCATTCCTCTCAACCTTGTAGATCAATTTCGTACTTTAAATGTAGAAATGGAGTTAGAACTCTTTGCTCGTATAAGACTTCTAGCGAGCCGGTTGATTGAGGGCTTGCCACGGCAACTCAGCCAAGGTGAGTACGAAGCCATAGTGAGAGGCTTTCTTGGCAACACACTCAAAATTGATCATTACTGTAATACAATTTACCAATGAATTGTTTGACATAACAGTACTCGAATCAAAAGGAAACTGTGTATATCAACTCTTTAACTTGTCGATGAGCGAGACGCCTGCACATCTCCCTCAAGTATTGTCGGAGTCACCGTTTCCAGAGGGTTCAATAAGGATGGAGGCTCTGGAATGCATTGCAGATTTTAAAAATAGATTGAATCTCTCTGACCCCGGAACACGATTTGACAAAGCATAGTAGTTGCATTTGTTTGCTGGCAAAGGTAGTAGAGGCATAAACCACTCCAGCATGAGCAAATGTAAAATTCTGAAAGGAGGGAGTCCCGGTTGATTGGATCCTTTCCTTTGAGCTTCTTCCCCTATTGTCATTTAAGGGCACCTAGCTTACAATCACTAGTGAAAGAGTGAAAATTCACCCAGATAGCGAAAATTTTTATAACCATTCAATAATTTTCATTTTTGCGAATACCGCTCGAAAGGAGTTATGTAAAATAGCAGTTGTTTGTCGGCTTGATAGCACAAGCACGATCGACCCATCTCTCTCTAAAGAGTGAGGAAAGGATGGGTACCATCAAGTTCGGAGCCAAAATCGGATGTCGTTCCCATAATCTGTTGATCTTGTCCTGATCGAGGCTTGTCGAAGCGAAGCATCAAGTCATTGGTGGACTAGACTAGATTTTAAAGATTGAGGAGCAGCTACTATTATTGGAATTCCAAAACCATTGACTATCTGTCTTGGCCTTCCGGCCTACTTACTATTCATTACAGCTCATCTTTGTACAATTATCGTGTCTGACCGCATCTGTGGTGGTACTGTATAGTTGATCCCGATTGCATCTAGGAGTGATATGTACATCTAAGTAACAATTTTTTTTTACATTATTTTTTCAATGTGGTGCACATATCTATATAGTATAGCAGAGACGAGCAGACTGGACTCTTTTCAAAATTGTGTATGGAAAGAGAAAGTAATTTTTCTTGCTTATTTGCTTGACCATTGAGGTGAGTGTGAGCAAAATGATTTCGACTGAACCTCCCAATGTTCTCTCTCCAATAGCATGCAACTGATGATGAAAAGAGATATATAGAAAGTGTGTAGTGAAGGATATTTATAGGAAGCTAGTCTCTACTTTAGTCGGTCCAAGCTTGACAACTCTCAAACAGTGGCCAACAAGTCTTATGTCTTTTTCGGTCGGACTAACCTAACCGGCTATTTCTAACAAGTGTTTCTTCGTTTTTAGAGGGAGGTTGAAGCGGAACTACAAGAAAGCTTTCTTTATCTTTATGGATAACAAATTCATTTTCAAATATAGTCGGGAGACTTTACCCAGAAAATGGTAAAAAAAAATGGAAAGATCGAAACATGGAGGAGGCATCGGCCCCAAATAAACTAACCACCTAACTCATTATTTGATTGAAAATTACATTTACATGTATGCAAATTGATGTCGTCCAAAAAGTGTTCTAATCTTTGGAATTATGGTATCATGTGTGTATATGGAATGAATTTTCCGCAACTACTACCAGTGTGAAACATGGTGTGGTTGCCTTTCGAAGCGTTTAGTAAAAATCTCGCAACTGCACAACTCTCGTAGCTAAAGTACTTCGACAGCAGCTTCCACAAAGATCACCTAATAGCTTTGAGGTATTATAACTTTTAAAATTTTTAAAAATTCTTTTATTTGGACAAAATAATCCATACAAAAACCTAGAAATTTGATGTAATAAGTAATAAGATTAATTTGTTAATTCCATAACAATAAACACAAAACAAATTTTGCTTGAAGGAAATTTATAGCAATTTTTCTGGAAATTTGAAATAACATACGGTAGTAATAATAATAATAATAAGGGACAAGTCACCAAAAACCCAAACTACACTCATTGTGATAAATTTACTTTGAACTTTTTACTATGACACCAAAAATCTCAAACTTATATATTTGTGACACATTTTTCTCCATTAAGATCCTGTCAATGAGCATTGTTAAAAATTTGCTTACATGAACGCCGGAAGGCAAATGGTGTTGACATGGTGTTCCCGTTATATAAATGAAATAAAAACGATGTCAATTTGGCTGAAAAATCATCTGATAAAACTTTGACGGATGATAAATGTGTCACATAGGTACGAATTTGATGTATTTTATGTCACATGAAAAAGTTTAAGATAAATTTGTCACAGCAAGCATAGTTTGGATTTTTGGTGTCATAATAAAAAGTTTAAGATAAATGTGTCGCAGTAGACATAATTTAGCGTTTTTGGTGGTTTATTCTCTAATACAATGAGAATAATACACGCCAAAGCTTTAATAGTACGGATGTAGAGGCTGGTAAAACCCTATAATAATGTTATAAGCCTTTCTCATTATTTTCATAACCACATCAATCTCACGATAGTTTTAAAAGATGTGTCGTTAAATACACGTGCTTCTACACCACACAACATAACATAGCCACGATATAGTCCCGGCATATCTACTGTTGTACCAAATAGAATCGAATCAATTTTCGAGATATGACTAATAATATCCATGATGAAAGTACTCTATCCCGTTTTCAATATTTAGACCATTTGTTTATACCCACATTTCTTTTAGAAAAGATTTTGAATCTATAGTTTACTCTTATAATTGAAAAATATTTTTTTTAAATTCAACGTATATTTTGTGGGGTCGCTATAAATGAGAAGAAACTTGTGTGAATTATTTTGAGTAATAGCAGCAATTATAAAGTGTATATATAATACTAATAAAGACCTATTTCCCTAAAAAATCCCAAACTTTAGGTCAAGTCCCAAATCTGTCCCGAACTTCTTTTTGTTTTAGAAAAAATCCCAAATTTTAAGTCAAGTCCCAAATCTACCCCAAACTTTAAGTCCAATCCCAAATTTGCCCCAAATTTTGTTTCGAGTAAAAAAATCACCAAAATTCAATTTATTTTCAAAAATGTATCCCGTGATCCAGTCTCAACTTGACGTGGCACTTCCACGTCGATAACAAATCCATATCAAGAAAGTAACGGGGCTTATTTTTAGACAAAGAAAAGTTTAGAGCAAATTTGGACTAAACCTAAAAATTAGGTTTTTTTAAAATTAATTTTTTTTTGGGGTGGATTTGTTATCGTCCATAACTTTCATATCCTAGAATGGTTTTATTTTGGAGAATTTCAACAATTTTTATTGAGTTAGATTTGTTATCGAAGTGGAAATGCGACGTCGGTCTGTACCCATCGGCCCATTACTTTGCTGATGTGGATTTGTTATCGATGTGGAAGTGCCACGTCAAATGAGGACTAGATGACGGGATATATTTTTGCAAATAAATTGAAATTTGATGATTTTTTTTATACAAAACAAAATTCGGACCATATTTGGGACTGAACTTAAAGTTTGGGGTTTTTTCTGAGATAAAAAAAAGTCCGGGGCAAATTTGTGATTGGATCTAAAGTTTGGAGTATTTTCTGATACAAAAAAAAAGTTCGGGAAAAATTTGGGATTTGATCTAAAGTTAAGGTTTTTTTAAGGGAATTCACCCTACTGATAAATCGAAAACTTCTTATTGAAATGGAAGAATTGCAACTTAATGGAGGCCCAGGCCCAGTTCGTTGGCCCGACCGGACTCTCGCGGGTCGGGTCCTGCGGGTTCCCTTCTTCTTCCCTGTCCGAGACAAGAACCTCAAGCTCGACAAGAACGGAAACGGCTAGCAATAGAGAGAACTCCGAGCTCGCGGTTTCACGAGAGCTTTAGAAGAGGGCGGCGGCGGCGGCGGCGGCGGCGTGAAAGAGAATGGGCGGAAGGGGCAGGTCGCGGACTCAGAGGAGGCACTTCGCGCAGGGCAGGGAGAACGTGTGGAAGCGTCCCAAATCCGATCCCAACCCCGACGCCAACCCCGACGCCGGCAACGGCAACGGCAACGGCAACGGTGCCGGAAACGCCGGCGGCGATGCCTCCTGGCAGCCTTTCGCCACTCAAAACCTCGCCTTTGACGAATACTACAAGGTCTCTCTCTCGCTCTCTCTCGCATGAGTATTATCTTATATTGTATGTGGGTTGATCCCGTTCCTGCTCGCGTGTTCGTGTATGTTCGCGTTTTGTGCGCTTCTCGGGCGAGTCTGCGGATTGCTTGTGATGTGGGGTTTGTGTTCTCTTGGGAGACTGCGGATGTACTTGACTCGTTGAAGCTCTAAAGTTTCCTGCTTTTTGGCAATGCGTTGCAGGGGCAAGGGATAGTGTCCCAAGAAGAGTGGGACGCATTTGTCGAGTGCCTCCGGAAACCATTGCCTGCTGCTTTTCGCATTAATTCAAGGTAACCACCGTCTGTTTATTCGGCGGTGTTGGCGGAGAACTGTTCAGAAATTTCCTTTTTTTCGAGCTCGGTTTCGTTTCTCTGTCATATTTTTTGCACTATTGACGGATTCGGGATTATAACTTTCGTCAACATAGTAGTTCATGGTATCATTGTCGATTATTTTTTTCGCTGCATTCTCCCATTGGGAATTACTAAGTATAATTTCACTTAGGGATTGTGGCTCTGCTTTCTGTTGTTTCATGTCAATTTACAGACTGTAGTTTTCATAGGTTGTCTAAGGGGTTGGTTAGAGCCTCATAGACCATCTAATCTAATGACAAGCTTTCAGGTTGGACTTTCTAAATAATATCAGAGCTAGGCACCACTTTCTCATACACCGTTTAGCGATCCATTTTGCATGTGGTTCTTGTCTGACTTATCCCCTTTCTGTCAATTCCACATGCCACTCTTTGTAAGGTTGCACATGAGAGGGGGCGTTCCTAAAATTACGGGGTTTGTCTAGGTATTAGGAAAACATAATCTCCTTCCACCTAATTACTAGCTTTTAGATTGGACTTTCTAATAAGTACTCATTAATCTACAATTAGATGCGTCAATAACGGGCATCAACATTTGCTAAGTTCTCTAGGATACATGAGAACTACTAGCCAAGATGTTATTATGTATTATGCAGGGTGCAAGTCACTTCAATAGTTTCCGTTTTGAGTAAGGGATTTGGTACGGCTGTCTGTTGAAACCTAGCAAAAAATAACATGTCTTTAAGGATGTCGTTGGCTTAGTGGTGATTAACTCCTATGACTAAACAGTCGTGAACTGATGTCTCTAACTTCCACCATCCCCTAAGCAACTTGCATTAAGTCCCAGACACGATCCTCATGTGTAGTTGCCACCCTCAACAGAGTCTTGGTGATAATTGGAGGAAGGTGAGGTGTCAAGTCATCATATTCCTTACGCCCTGGGTGACTCAAGTGCTGTCTCGGTCCAACATCTCACAAAAATGGAAGTTTATGGATCAAAATTTTGAATTTTAAAGATTGGTTTAGATTAAAATTCAAATATTGGGGATTAGTACTGCTGCATTCTTATGTCTTTTCTTTTTTCTTAAAAGCAAAAACTAAAGTATGGTTACTTTTTGAGGACATCCTCTTGTATCTTGTCCTTTTTACTTCACATATAATCGTTTATTTCTTTTCCTTGTTATTTCTTTTTTTCTTGTCTTCATTAGGATTGACTATTATTTTTTAGGAAACCACTGATGCATCCAGTTTGTTTTGATGCATGTAATATTGTTTTGTTTTCTAGCAGTTCTGGTCATGATAATCAATCTTGTTTGTTGGGTATTTTAAGGCAGGATTATTAAGTCATCTATTCCTTTTCTGCAAATTAGCAAGGGAACCTATCTACCAGCTTACTTACAATCAGATGTTTAATATACAAGAGTTTAACATGTGTTGTATTTTATCTCATTCCTTTGGATCTACAGTAGCCAATTTTGGATGGACATTCGATCACAGTTAGAGAACGACTTTGCAAAATCTCTGCAGGCTGAGGTGACATGATCCATATGACATTTATTATTGTAATTCTAGCATCTATAATGTTGTTTATTTCTCTATCATTCCTTTTTAATCGTTTGGGCCTTTTCATATTCTCTCCAGTTTATCGAGGGGGATGAAGTGCAGGCCATAAGACCATTAGCCTGGTATCCTGAGAATCTCGCATGGCATTCAAACTTTTCCCGCATGCAGCTGAGGAAGAATCAGGCTCTTGAGAGGTAGGTTGTGCATTTGATGACATTATTCATAGCTAGAGCACTTTCAGGTTCATCCCTCTTTTGGAAAGCATCAAGCAATGCCTTAATCCTATAACAGAATCTAAGGTAGCAGAGTTGTCCCTTCATACCGCAAGCACTGAGATTTACCAGGTTGCACGCTTGGCTTAGCACATTTCTCCAGCTTCTGGCCTCTGCCACTATGTAATCTGAGAGCAACTTTACTTTCACCAGTTTGCTAGATACAAGGATGCCATTTTTAAACCAATAAATGGCCTCTTACAACTGTTACCACTACCCAACTGCTACAATCAACACTTCCTAACTTTTGTCTACTACATTAAACTTGAAGCAACTTCATTTGATCCATGAGTCATGAGTCACAACTGCAGTGGTCTCATTGACTGCAGCAACCAGTGGCCATCACTGGTGCGACATTCCTCTTTGCTGCAAGCAGTAATTAGAATTCTCTTTTCACCCCATGTTATCACCCCGAAAGTCCATCACAATCACGGTCATGGACTATTTTATGGGCTACCAACCAGAATTTGACGTAACGAGATGGTAGGACTTTCGCGAGCTCATCCTAGAAAGAGAAGCACAGCCTACTTGAGCATGCTGAAATTGATTAATTTTATGCCACCATTTCTTGGTTTTGTGGGATGTTGGCTTGAGGTTACTTAAGATGGTTAAATTGATATGGTTTGCTGGTAAAAGTACATGAAATGATACTACTACACATAAGCAACAAGATTTAGTACATTAGAAAACTTTAATTCTTTACCTGAGACCCATTTAATATATTAATAGATATTTTTGTATAATCACTTCAGATGCAGGCCATTGTTAATCTTGCTCTGCTTAATTGCAGGTTTCATGAGTTCTTAAAGCTGGAAAATGAGATTGGGAACATCACAAGACAGGAAGCCGTCAGCATGGTGGGTCCACATCATTCAAAGTCTTCTTATTTCCGATATGTACTCTTGTGGTTGTGCTTTCTCTTTCCTGGTTTGGGCTTTCTCCTAAAGTAGAATTGGTTCTGGTGTAGGTGCCACCTCTTTTCTTGGATGTACAACCAGACCATTTTGTGCTGGACAGTGAGTGGTTTTGCTTCTTTCACGGACCCATTTATTTCTTTCAATTGACATGCTTTATTTGTTTGCATCGAAGAAACTTACTAGATGGTTATTATATTTCTTGAAGTCTATTTCTTTTCACGGAGTGCCAATAACTGTATATAAGCTTTATAGTACTATTAACTATATAGTTAGCACTATATCGACCAGTGACAAATTAATAGTCTCCAAAACTCTTGTGTCCCTGTTGGACTACCTGAAGGGTGCCCAGCCCCTGCCTTGGGCATGCAAAATAAGGAAGTAGAATGCTAAGAGTGGTTCTCTGATTTTATTCTTTTTGCATGTATGCAGTGTGTGCGGCTCCTGGATCAAAAACATTCCAGTTGCTTGAGATTATACACCGATCAACAAAACCAGGATCATTACCTAAAGGACTGGTGTGTATCCCTATAGTTGAATTTTTGTTCCTGGTTTCTTCTATTACTAGTAAATGATTTGTTTACATGGCTGTTTTTACCAACTGCATACTCTTGGTTTAGAATCTTACCTGTGATTTGCTTGATAAAGTTATCCATTGAAGCGAAGAATTGCTCTCCTAATTATACTAATGAGACTGTTCTGATGCTATATGTTTTCTTATGTTAGGTCATTGCCAATGATTTGGATGTCCAACGATGCAATCTTCTCATTCATCAAACAAAAAGAATGTGCACTGCCAACTTGGCGGTCACAAATCATGAAGCTCAACAATTTCCAGGCTGCCGTTTAAGCAAAAGTCAGTTTGATACTTCTGAGATGGGAAATCAGTTGGGTCCATGCCTTAATCAACTCCTTTTTGATCGTGTCTTATGTGACGTTCCCTGCAGTGGAGATGGTACCCTCAGAAAGGCCCCGGATATATGGAGAAAGTGGTAAGCTCTCTCTTTGTCCCTACCGCCTTGGCATCTGTTGTTGCGATTTTTCCACTGCACTGTGTGCCAACTGTAACATTTGTTTGTTATTACAGGAATACAGGAATGGGCAATGGAATCCATGGCTTGCAAATTCAAATAGCGATGCGAGGTATCTTTTGCTGAAAAAAAGTGGATCAAACAGTTTATGTTATTTGCCCTGCTCCTTTTGCTCCCTTTGATGCTGCTGAAATTTCTTTATCATCTATTTTGTCAAAAAATTCTATTTATTTGGCTCAAGGCTGCCTTGAGATTCTTCTGAATGACAAATCATCTTTAATGCATAATTTGCATGCTCCTGGAGTCAATTGATTACAATTGGAAGTGCGCATGCACGTTATAGTATTGGAAGGTTTTGGTTTCAAAACGTAGAGCAACCTTTACTTGTCCTCTTTGCCATTCGCACCGTCTGAGAAAGCTTCGCAAAAAATTAACAATTTGCTTATATTTAATCTTGTATCTGTACATTATAAATTTAGCCCAAGAAGGATTTAGTACTTGGTGAACAATGCAGGGATCTCATTGCTTAAAGTTGGTGGGAGAATGGTTTACTCGACCTGTTCGATGAATCCAATCGAGAATGAGGCTGTGGTTGCTGAGGTACCTTTCTAAGAACTTTACCAATTTTATTAATCTTGATATGAATTCTCTTCATGGATATCTATATTTAAGGAGTGTCTCTTCTAGGATGAAGACTGCTTGTATGACTGCTTTCCAATTTAAAGATTTTTAAACTACTTTTCTGAGACTGCTTTACGATAAAGAACTTGAAGGAATTTACGCATTTCTTACTGTGGTATGACCCTCTACTTCCCCCCACCCCCAGATTCTGCGAAAATGTGGAGGCTGTGTTGAACTACTTGATGTTTCTGGTGAGCTTCCTCAACTTATCCAGCGGCCTGGTCTTAAGAAATGGAAGGTTTGGTCTCACTTCTACAATTTATCTTCTTCCTCAATTTGTAATAATTGTAAAGGTTTTCAATTCTAGTCAAGACCCGGGAAAAGAATCCATGCTATCAGCAAACTTACCAGAGCTTTCTTGCTGTCTGGTATACCAATTTGGATTATAGATCTTCTGTGGAGTTTGGTTAAGCTAGAAACCCTGGATGTAGAGGTACCCAGATGCATGGTCTGAGAAGTCAGCAAAGCCATAGTAGATGTGGGATTGGAAATATGCCTGAAAAATCTGGTTTTCGTTTATCAGAGTACAAGGGGAGGTTCCACCTTTAAACGTTCATGTTTTCTTTAGGAGAGGAAACCTTATAGTGAGAACAAAATCACGTGAAGGGAAAAATATCTCCTAGAGGGGAACTCTTTCTTCAAGAGAGAAAATGAACTTACAAAGGGATTAGTAAATTACTCTCACCTACCAAAGCAGAGTGAGCTTTCAGATGGGATTGATCCTCGCCTTGAGAAATTAGTTTTGGCAATTGAATAGGTTGAGCTGTTCTGGCAATGATGAGTGTAAATCTGCATTTTTTGAATGTGAACTCCATTACTTCCTTTGGTGGTGCAGGTTCGTGACAAAGGCACCTGGCTGGCTTCCTACAAAAATGTTCCCTTGTCCCGTAGGGGTGCAGTGCATCCCAGTATGTTTCCTTCAGGTAGTTCTGTAGAACCTGTCGATCACTCTGTAGGACTTGAAGAAGAGCACCAGAATGGTCATGCTACAAGTTCGGAAGACCCACGGATTCAATTTGATGAGCCTGTGACTTTGGTCAATAATCTTGAGGAGGAAGTTTCTACTTTCCCGCTGGAACGTTGCATGAGAATAGTGCCTCACGATCAGAATGGTGGAGCTTTCTTTATTGCCGTCTTCCACAAAGTGGGCCCCCTGCCAGGTAGCATCAGATCCTGTTTAGGCCATGATGAACTTGAATATACAAAAAAAAAAAAACTGCTTCTTTTTAATATGTTTTTGGCTGTGAATTGATCAAACTTTTTTCCTGCTTTGATAAATTGTAGTTTTCCTGGCCATCCTTCCAACAGGCTATTTGTGTCTGTTGCTCACTTTTGCAATTAGGAGATTCTTTTTTGACTCTTGGTGAATGTGTAATGTCAAGAAAAATTATCAACATTCTTATATACAAGAGAGATCTTCTTTCTTATTCTCAGATATCATGGTTGCAGATTTACGAGTAGTAAAAAACATGTATGGAAGCCGTACACAAAAGATACGAGATCAATCATAAACAAGAAAGACATTAACACTAGAAATTTAGATTGTGATCCATTCTAACAGATGCTTGAGGACTACAGGTTTCCATTAATTTAATTATACTAATACTTGATTTATTTTTCTGCATTTTAAATAGTAGGTACCCTGGAGAAACACAATAGCCATCAAGAAAAATCTTCCTTTCATAGTGATAGACAGTCTGATGAAGCTCAAGATAAGCTCTTCAAAGATGTGAGGACATCCGAGGATATTTCAGCAAATGGCAACAACGAGAAAGTCGCAGAAGCCGCTCTGGAAGCTTGTGAGGATGGCCCACAAGAAGCTCTTTTGGAAACAGATTCTGGGAATGCCTGTGGAAATGATGACTCAAAAGAGGCTGAAGCTCCAAGTGAGGAAAATGATGGAAAAGCAGGAGGTAAGAGGAAGTTGCAGATCCAAGGCAAGTGGAGGGGCGTCGATCCTGTTGTGTTTTTCCGAGATGAAGATGTCGTAAACAGCATTAAGAACTTTTATGGCATTGTTGATTCCTTCCCATTGAGTGACCACCTTGTAACAAGGAACAGTGAAACTACCCGTGTGAAGAGGATTTACTATGTTTCAGAATCAGTTAAGGAACTTCTGGAGCTGAATTTTAAAGTGGGCCAGCAACTTAAGATAACATCTATAGGCCTTAAGATGTTTGTAAGTATCTTTCTTCATATGCTTTCAGTTTGTCTTGTGTTGTGCATCAGCAGTACGTGTATCTTCTTGAGCGCTCTCCTCTCCCGATGGTTCGCAATCTCTTTGTGAATTTATATCAGCATGTAGAGAACTTTATATGTAACTTTAGCTAATTATCTAAGGTGTTGAGTCTTCAATAGTGGGCATTTGGTATAGACTAGATAGTGTATTTCCCAATGGGTGATCGACAAGTTTTGCTTTCAGTTGATCAATGCCTTTCTTCTTCCCATTATTATCCGGATGTGTAACACATCTAAAACGTTTCTCTTTTATCTTATTATTCTAAATACATTTGATGTTGCAATCTAACTTCATCACAATGGTGGTTACTTTTACAGGAACGACAAACATCAAGAGAAGGTACCTCTGCACCATGCTTGTTCCGCATATCATCTGAAGGCTTGCCACTCATCCTCCCATATCTGACCAAACAAATCCTAGACGCATCTGTGGCGGATTTTAAGCATCTTTTGCAGTACAAGAGTATTAAATTTACAGATTTTGTTGACGCTGAATTCAGTGAGAAGGCAACAAAGCTGCTGCCTGGCTGCTGTGTAATAGTTTTGTGGAAAGGTATGCCACATCGCACAATTGTCATAACATCAAAATTGGTGATCTCTTCTGTAACATTACCTACTTTCCTGTAGATAATGAAGACTCATCAAATCCAAATCTTGTGCACGAGTCCCCGATAGCCATTGGTTGCTGGAGGGGTAAGGCGTCATTGAGTGTCATGGTGACTGCCATTGATTGTCAGGAGCTGCTAGAAAGGCTTTTGCTGCGTATGGAACCTATGAAGGAATCTACAGTGCAAGAGAGCGAGCCTTTAAAAGATGCAAATGAAGTGAACAATAGTGACATGGTTGAGGATGCTGACGAGATTACACTCAATGCTGAAAGCTGAACAAAGGTTGGTTGTTGTGTTCATACACTTCGTGTATACTAATTGATTCAATCTAGTTCTTAAGATTTTCGATGGCTAAATTTCTTGTCATTCCTTATATCGCCTCCACCAATTTTGGCCCTTAGAACTTGGCAACTTTTTAAATGGGTCTATAGGAATGCTTGCAGATTTTGATTGGGATGATAGGTTCTCTATAATAGATGGCTGGTTCCCTTGTAACAATATATTTACTTCTCACCATATTTATGATTATGCTGTGCAACAACTTACATTCAAGTAGACGATGAAAAAGGATAGAAGGGAATTTTGTCATCCATTTCTGGTCAAGTAACCAGTTCCTCGGTCCATCTATGTATGCATTTTGTTGTCAGTTATATTTTTATTTAGTGTTGATTTTTATGTCTATTCCCTTCTCTGTTTGATGGTAATTATCAAAAAAGGACACGAGCATCACTTATGTAATATGACCTTCTAAGAGTACACTGGGAACATGCTTGAATGAAATTGACCCACGAGCTTCTCGAAAAGAGCGCTTTACAATGATCATTCGAAAACGCATCTTTGAGCTCTCATGGTTGTGGAAATGAACTTTGCAATGCGTTTCCATTCTTTAGGGGGAGGTCACAAGTTTCTGTACTGTAGGATCGATTTTTGACGGAATGAAAAGTATATGTTAGAATCGTAAGCATTGAATACGATCTTAATCGAAATGCATTTATTTGTCTCATACACTATGAGGATGGTGAGAAGAGATATATTTTACATCCCAGAGGGGCTTAATTGGAGATTCCAATGTTTCCGGTACACAAGTTATGGTGAAATGGTGTAATTACCTACCTTTGAGAGCGGATCTCTCTTTGCTTCTCCACTCGGGGTGCTTCTTTATATGACTAAGTGCTCGTGAGGGGTTTCCCACTACTTCCTAGTTCCTTTACTCTTAAGCTAAAAATTCAGCGCCAAGTTTTCTCCTTTAGTGGTAGATTGACTTCCAGTTTCCCTTTCTCATCTGTCTTGATCCATTGGAATATGAATAGATGAATTGCCTTATGATCTCATTTTTCTGGGTTAGATGTGAACTCTCTCCGTCCGGGAACACAAGGATGGAATTAAATTGTCGCCCCTGCCGTCTTTTAGGGAAGCTCCTCTCCGAAAGTATCCCTAGAATGCAGCATTTTTTCCTGAAATTTAGTACATCTTCGATTATTATGTTATATTTCTTTGACGAAGCTGCCGAATGTGCTCAACAATACTATTAGAAACGGATACTCATCCTCCCCGAACTACTCCAAAGTTGGTCTTAAAGCTGATCTTTGGCTGACATGTTATCAATTTTCGTTTGCTCTTATGTGCTCGTTATATCAGACCTACTTGTGTAGCCTAAGTCTCCATCCTGAAGATCATACTTATCTAATTGCAGCATACCAACTTTAGCTCGTATATGCGCACGATCACATCCTAATACAAAAGAGTCGAAGTACAAGGAACTGAAAAATCATCGTCATAGCCAATGAGATGGCATATGGCTCCAGTGCAACAAGCGTCCCGTTTTGTGGAACTTTTTGCTCCAGGCCTTTCTCATTTTATGTGCATTCTTTAGAAAGAAAATGGGGAATAAACTTTTCATGCTCCTCTTGTAGTTGGCTGACTGGGAAGCCGCTTTTGCAATCGGAATCATTTCCCACAGCCGAGGCGATTCCGCTGCTGCTATAATTGATTTTGACGGAGCCCTTCTGGCTTTGGATCGCATAGTGAATGGTGAAGAATTCATAGCTCCAGAGTGTTACGATTGTCTCTCCCCCTGATTTTGAGTCTGGATTCATAACACGCGGTCGAGTTTCTTCACATTGGATAATGGCGCAAACATTAGTGAAAGATGAATGAGTGGGGCTCATAAGGATTTGTCTTTTGACATCCTCATATGCAGGCCTAATGCTGGCCAATAATTGATAAAAGTGGATCTTGCTCTTCGCTTTGAGAGTATATGGTCACAAAATCAGCAAGGAGCAATATTGACGAAATTTATCCCATGTCTTTTTGAAATTTCCAGGATGTTCGGTAAATGGTTGATTGGGAGCTTGCTCGGTATGAGCAATTTCCTATTTCAACTCGAAAATTCGAGAGGCACTATCTTCATGGCCATACATGTCTTTAAGAAATTTTTGTAGAGATTGCGCCATTTCAGAGTAAGCAAAAATTTCTCAAATTTGTGGATCCATGGAGTTGAAGATCCATGACATGACCAAGTTATCAATAGACTGTCATTTGGCATATTTAGGACCGGTGGATGATGGGGTTTTGATCGAACCATTGACATAGCCTAACTTGGATCGTCCTCCAAGAGCAATCGTAACTGCCTGGGACCAAGGGAGATAGTTTCATACGTTAAAAAAAAGGGAGGATGTCAATCTATTGCTCATCTCATTTGAGCTATATCGACCAACGTTAGCGTGACTGAAGAACTAGTCATTATAAAAAGAAGAAAGGAGATGATCAAGAGCTTTTTTGAATCAGAAGTCGAATGAAGCGACAAATAGCGACTTCGATAGCTCAGGTACCATGCTTGAACCTAGCTCTGATACCATGTTTCCTTTGTAATCACGCACACAAAAAAGGAGAAAAGGACTTAACGTGGTTCAGTTGACCAAGGAGAGGACTCTTGGCGGCCTATGTCCACGTTGGGAAACCCCCAATTCTGCATATTACCTTGAGGGGATTTATATCTCTGGAGATAAACATGAATATTTATTGGAAAGGCAACATTTGTCATTTTCTTCTTTATTGATTAAAGCCGAATCTCCTACTAAATTGGGACTCTGCAAACTAGTCGTCCTTATATTTTCAACACTCTTATATGATCACGACTTTAAATGGTCTATTGGAAAAAGCATTTCCTTCAGCCTCGCTTCATTAAGTACATAATAGAGCCTAACAGATACCTCAATGATATTTTGAAGGTGGTCAGTAACCATCTCTACTTACAACCCACTGTCACATCGTCTGTGTTAAATTAGCGTATTATTCGTTCCGATTATAAGAGATATACATGCGAAGCTCGTGTCTAGAAGTGACATGAAGCCCTTAACACCCTTCATTAATCTACTATCCAACTATTCAGATTAACAAGAGAGACTAATAAGTAGATTTTCGAAATATCTCTAGCAGTCCGAAAGCCAATCCGAGAGAAATCCATAAGCAAAGGGGGCGTTGGGTCATTAGTGACATGTGGACTCGTCTGTTCCTTATGGCTGCGAAGGTAATGTTTTGGGTCTTCCTGACTGGTCTAACAACCGTTAAGGGAATTGCAAAAATGTATTTGCTATGATGGGTTTGCAATCACTCTGTGGGAGATTTAATCCCCAGTGCCCGGTTTGACGAAAGAGGCATAAGATACTTGTCCGCGAACCCCTTCATCGGGGAGCTGTGGAAGTACATACTCGAGGACCCGGAGCCAATTCAGAGGGAGCCGATGACTCGGAAGCCATAAGGAAGATAATGTGGGGATAGAGAAGTGATGCATTCCTCCGGAGTAGGCCGGGGTGGATTGATTGCCAGCCATCGTGGAGGTTTAGTTACGGCCGGAGTCTTCTATTGTGTAGTTCGACATTTTAAGCAGGCGCGAGGACCTTTTTATTATATGAACGGAGTTGACAAGCTGTCTCCGGAAGAAAGATGCCAACCAAAACAATCGTCTGTAAAAATGACGAGGAGAGATTTTTTTTGAATGTTCAGTCAGTAATTTATCTGGAGCATGACATGAACTTTCATTGTGTGGAGCAAAGCCAGTCTTTGAAGATGAGGTAGGCACGAGATTGCCGGACGAATGAATGTCCGGCCAACCAACTTTATGCTAATGTGGCCTCTGTCAGTGACAGGACGGCAACTTGCAGAGAAGAAAGTAGCTACTCCAAGACTTCCCACTTCATTTCTTCTTCCAATCGATCATCCCTAGCCTCCTCCTCTTTCCTCTTCTACCCCTTCTCGTGGCCTCTTGCTGCAACTTGCACTTCATTCATCCTATACTCTCTACACCATTTGTCTCTGCTCCTAAACCTTAAAGCAATCATCCCTCCTCAAGATAACAACATCCAACGCGGTAAAGTTTTCCCCATATCATGTCTTGTTCCCAAGGAATAGAATCACTTTTGGCACTCTCCTTGTTTTTGCCGGATATATTCTTAAGCAGCCTTTTCTGGTTATGGTGGTCCAGCACCAAGAAGACACACAGTTGATCAGCCATCCGAATTTCCAATTTCAAGACTAAACTGATGAGAATTGTTAAAAGCATCCCATGTCGTTTGCTTCAACCTAGTAAGTTTTTCGGAATATTTTAATCTGAAGTACATAGCTAATCACTGTCAACAATGTCATGCTACCAGTGATAGAAATGGAATCACAAACCTGCAGAGATCAGATCCGTCACTGCAGCAGCAATGGATTTACATTTCATTGAAGTTTGGCATCTGATAGACAATTCCAGTCTGCCTCAACCTCATGGATTAATGCATGCCGACTGTTTCAATTTGTGTTCAGCAAAAAGTTTATATTATTCTTTTCGAAAATTGAGACAAAGCTCTTATCAAACAAATTGATGTGCAAGCACACAACTGCACCTCAAACTTAATCTACAATAAGATATACCAACGCCATTACCCCCCACCCCCGACCTTCCACACAAGAGATGAACACACACTACTACGAATAGATTATCTGAACCAACAAACTATAGCCTGGTTTACACAAGAGATCGGCAAAACTTCATCTGCTCCGGCTGTCCTTGAGAAAGCAACATCAGTAATCACCATCAGTAACATCAAGATTGCCACTCATGAGAAATGATGGCCCAAACCTTTTAAAAACCCAATGAAAGCATGCGCTGGGTTCCCATCCTCCTCTTTCTAAGTCTCTCTGCAATGATAAATGCCAGCTCAAGGGATTGAGAAGCATTAAGCCTTGGGTCGCAGTGTGTGTGATAACGCGAACCCAAATCGTCATATGTCACAGTCCGGGACCCTCCAATGCACTCGGTTACATTCTGGCCAGTCATTTCTAGATGAATTCCTCCAGGATGACTTCCTTCTTGCTCATGAACATCAAAGAATGCGCGCACTTCGGCCTAGAAAGGCAAAAAAAAAAAAAAAAAAACCAGTAAGTACCAACTGCAGTATAAGATTAAAAAGTTATGGACACACAGATTGCTAATAGCTTGACAACCTCTATTTAGAGATACAGTCAATTTATTGGACTATTAAATGAGCTGGATCCAATTAGTGCATCCT